CCAGTTTTTTTAAACAATTTGGTATTGTTAGGAGATGAGTGTTTCTTTATTTTTTTTGTGTACTGCATTAACGTAATTTGTTTCCGTCTTCCAGTCAAGAGCAATGCTGGTGCTATTGTGGCTGTGTGGGCTCCAATAATAGTTGTAAGTTTCTGTTGGAATATCTAGAGGTTTCCTTTCAATGTTCAGTCTTCAGGATTATGAGCTCAACTGGTGCTCACATTTGTTGCTAAAGTTTTAAGGCTGACAACAACTTGAATTGCTTCATATAGTTGGGCAAATAAGCTTTTCAGATCATTGACCTTTTTGTGACAGTTTGATTAGTCCTCTGTCATCCATCTATGAAATTTGGAATTGTCTCAGGTATATTTCATGGATACACAGATTTGGTACTCCGTTTTCTGTACTATCTTTGGTGGAGTTTATGGCATCTTGCATCATCTTGGTGAGGTAAAAGTGTTGCTTTTTTTAAAAAAAAAAAATTTCTCTTTCCTGGGCTGCCCATTTTAGAACTGGACCAATTCCTCTTTTCTTTTGCAGATCCGGACATTAGGAATGTTGAGAAGTAGATTTCACACCCTGCCTTCTGCATTTAATAATTGCCTCATCCCACCCTCATCCAAAAATAAGCAAAGGCAGAAAGGGAAAAATTTCTTCAACAGAAGATCCTACAAGGTGTGAGTTTATGCAATAATATTACTACTACTAATTTGCTTGAAAAAACTTTTATCCTCCAACTGAAAGCACTTAACTGATGGCATCTTAGGTGTCCGAGAGTGAAAGAAATGGTATTGCTAAGTTTGTCGTTGTCTGGAACCAAATTATCAATAACTTTAGATCCGAGGACTTGATAAACAACAGGTTGTTTTCTTCAGCTAAAGTGTGTTCTCTTTTTCACGGGCATCTCTAAGTATTACCTTATAGAACTATATCCTTGACAGGGAATTGGACCTTATGACAATACCTATGTCATCAGAGTTGTTTTCTGGGATGGTTCGTTGGCCTATTTTCCTTCTTGCAAATAAGGTGCACTACTTTTAATATTTTGATGGTGCTGATAATTATGCAGTTTCTTTTCCCTCTTATCCTTGTTTATGTATAAACATCACTGCCAATTCTTACTAGTTCTCAACAGCACTGAGCATTGCAAGAGATTTTGAGGGAAAGGACGAAGTTCTTTTTAGAAAGATTAGAAAGGATGAATACATGTACAATGCTGTAAAAGAATGCTATGAGTCTTTGAAGTACATCCTTGATATTCTTGTTGTTGGCAATCAAGAGAAGAGGTATATATACAATGTACTTTGATCAGAGAATTTTCCATAAATATTCCTTTATGGTCAGACTTTCTTAAGTTGAAGTAGTGGTTTATGGTATTGTCTTTTACTGTCTTTCATGTCTTGGTAGGCTGAATTGTTGAGATTCATGGATGTCATTTTGCAGACTGCTTAC